AAGCTGTTCCGAGTAAGGTGGGTTTTTATTATTATTATTATTATTATTATTATTATTATTATTATTATTATTATTATTATTATTATTTTATTTTAGGGCGCATGGAGCAAGATGGGGCTCCTCTTGCCATCTTACCTGATTTCCAGCTCTGTGTTTAAATATTTTCGGGAAGGACTTATTTTGGGGGGGAGGCTTATTTTAGCGCATGCGCCCAAAAGCCTAATTGGTTTTATTATCAGGGGATGTCTTATTTTCGGGGAAACAGGGTATGTTCAGGGAAACAGGGTATGCCCAAGACTCCTGGCGTGATTCTTGTAAATTAGGAAAACAACAATAGAGAAGAAATTCTGATCAGCTCACAGTGTTGTTCTGGTACCTTATGCCTAACGCTCTCCATCTACAGATCCCAGAGAGTTCCCTGGTTCTTTGAAGAACTCAAAAGAATGATACAGGTAATCCTTGACTTAGGACCACCTGTTTAACGATGGCTCAAAGTTACAACAGCCTCAGAAAAAGTGACTTACAATCTGTACTTGCACTTAGGACTGTCACATCACCTCTGTGATGATAGGATTGCAACATCCCTGTGATCACATGATCAAAATTGGAATGCTTGGCAATGGACTCATATTTATGACAGTTGCTGTGTCCCAGGGTCATGTGATCCCCTTTTGTGATCTTCTGACATGCGAAGTCAATGGGGAAGCCAGATTCACTTAACCACCGTGTTACTAACTTAACAACCGCAGTGATTCACTTAACAACGGTGGCAATAAAGGTTGTAAAATGGGGCAAAACTCACTTAACCAATCTCTGACTTAACAACAGAACTTTTGGTCTTCATTTTAATTTTTTTTTTTTATTTGATTTATATGCCGCCCTTCTCCGGAGACTCAGGGCGGCTTACAATGTGCTAAGCAATAGCCTTCATCCTTTTGTATATTTATACAAAGTCAGCTTATTGCCCCCACAACTGGTTCCTCAATTTACCTACCTTAGAAAGGATGGAAGGCTGAGTCAACCTTGAGCCTTGGCGAGATTCGAACCTGCAGTAATTGCAGGCAGCTGGTCTTAATAACCAGCTTAATAACAGGGTGCCTTAGACCACTGTACTACCAAGGCTCTTGGTAAGCTTAATTGTAAGATGAAGACTATCTGTAGCTACCCAATTCTCTGAGGGTACCACACATCCGACATAAAATTGGCTTGTAATATTGCCAGTAGAATTCAGCGTTTATGGGGTCTTTTTAAGCCTAGCAAAAATCCCTGTTGGATTTAGAAAGTTTAGCAAGATTATTATTATTATTATTATTATTATTATTATTATTATTATTATTATTCACCTCGTGAATTTCCCAACCTAGCTCATTTGAGTAAGGATGCGGTCATGCTTCAAGATGACCACAAGAGGGCAGAAGCACACAGCTCTAAAAACAAGACTTTTTAAAAAAAAAATCCATGACAACTTCTATCATTTGAGATCTATGAAATCAACAGGACAGAACCAGACGAAGCCGCAAGTTACTGAATGCCAAATTAAAGTTATGAAGCTTATCATCATCGCCATATGTCACTGTCCCTCTTCGTGATCTTAAATAATAATCACAACTTTATTTCAACTGATGAAAGATTGACCCTGCTTTTGTCTTCTTTAAACGCCATGTGAAATACTAAAACGGACAGGCAGGAGAAGCATGGGGGATACAGCTTCATCTGGGAAGAATGCATGCCAAATTTCAGACCAAAAAACCCCCACAACCACCTGGTTTTAGAAAGACAGCACTATCCACAATTCAGTGGAAGCACCAGGATTATGTTATTCTGGTTTACCCATGAAATAGCTGTGAAAGAACAAAACAATTCATTAAAAAAACAACCTGTGTCTACTCCTGGATGGGCTCATACACCATGCTAAGACAACTCAAGCTGGTTTGGGAATCCCTGAATCCCTGGAGGGTCAAAGAGATCCATATAGGGATCTCTCTCTCTCCCTCTCCCTCTCTCTCTCTGACTCTCCCTCCCATTCTCCCTCTCTTTCTCTCTTCCTCTCTTATTCTCTCCTTCCTCTCTTCCTCTCACCCTCTCTCTCATTCTCTCCTCCCTTACCCTCTCTCTCATTCTCTCCTTCTTCTCTCTCTCCTTCCTCTCTCCCTCTCTCATTCTCCTTCCTCTCTCTCCCTCTCTCATTCTCCTTCCTCTCTCTCCTTCCTCTTCCATTCTCTCCTTCCTCTCTTTCCCTCTCATTCTCTCCTTCTTCTCTCTCTCTCATTCTCTTCCTCTCACCCTCTCTCTCGTTCTCTCCTCCCTCACCCTCTCTCTCATTCTCTCCTTCCTCGCTCTCATTCTCTCCTTCCTCTCTCTCTCCCTCTCTCTTCCTCTCTCTTCCTCTCCTTCCTCTACCCCCTCTCTCTCATTCTCTTTCTCCTTCTCCCTCTCTCATTCTCTCCTTCCTCTCTCCTCCCTCCCTCTCATTCTCTCCTTCCACTCTCCCTCTTTCTGTCCCCCCCTTCCTCACACCCACACATAGAACGAGAACATTGTCAAAATTTGCTCCAAGCTTAACTTCCTTATTCAGTCTGCAAAAGTTATTGTATCCCAAAGTTTGAGAATTCCCGTGACGCAATGTTAAATAATACTTAAATATAATTAAAACAAACTTTGAATTCTTCTTTGCCCAATCCTAACAAAATGATTAATTTGAAAATGCTCGGCTCAGCATGGTAGCGAATAGAACTTAATCCAGCTCTTAGTTACTGGCACTAAGAAAATGAACAAATGGTCGCCATCAGGAGAAACTCACATCATAGTAACTTAATATGGTAAGAGCTGCTTAAAATGAGCTTAACAAAGACAGATTTGAGTGGTACCGAAGGTCTCCTTCCACCAGCGTAGGAATTCTCTCCCATATAAATATTAAAATCTTCCTGCCAGCCATATCTATTATGCAAATGTGTCAGGAAGATAGATCATATAATGAACACAATCATCTATCTCATTGTTGCAAGTAGCTGCAGCTTGCCACAGGCAGATTCATTCACTTTGAATGTCTGTAGAGATTCTCCGTCATCCAGGTCATGGTTGTCCCAAAGGAGCTTTTTCAGGAGGCAACTGGACTTCCTTGTTTTTTCTTTGAAGACGTTTCGCTTCTCATCCAAGAAGCTTCTTCAGCTCTGACAGGATAGTGGGGGATGGAAGGATTTATATTCCTTGCAGACAGAGCTGGTCATTTACATCCTTTTAGAGGGTCATTGAAGCACTTGGAGGTTTATCTGTGTCCTCAGGGTCACCTGAGTGGTGCTCCTGATTCCTGGAGTCTGCCATTTTGTCCTCTGGAAATCCTGTCAGAGCTGAAGAAGCTTCTTGGATGAGAAGCAAAATGTCTTCAAAAGGAAAAAAAATAAGAAAGTCCAGTTGCCTCCTGAAAAAGCACCTTTGGGACAACCATGACCTGGATGACTGAGAATCTCTACAGACCTTTAGCTATACAATTTGGGATGAACACCCTTTGAATGGGGTGGGAGTAGGAATGGGTTTCCAGAGGACAAAATGGCAGACTACAGGAACCACTCAGCACCACTCAGGTGACCCTGAGGACACAGATAAACCTCCAAGTGCTTCAAGACCCTCTAAGAGGATGCAAAGGACCAGCTCTGTCTCCAAGGAGTGTAAATCAGGGGTGAAATGCTCCCGGTTCGGACCGGATCACCCGATCCAGTACACATGCCCAGCTGAGCCACAAAATCATCAGAGGCTTTTTCTAAAAACTTTTAAAAGCATTTTTTCTACAACCTCTTTGGCCGAAAAAAATGCTTTTAAAAGTAAAAAGAAAAAAAAAAGCCTCTGATGATCGCACGGCTCAACTGGGATCATCAAAGGCTTTTAAAAGAAAAAACCCTTTTTTTTATTTTAAATGCCTCTGACGATCCAAGCTGAGTTGCCTGATCGTCAGAGGCATTTAAAAGAACAAAAGTCTCTGCCGATCAGGCAACTCAGCTGGGATCGTCAGAGCCTTTTGAAAGCATTTTTTTACAACCTCTTCGCTGAAGAGGTTGTAGAAAAAATTGTTTTAAAAGTAAAAAAAAAAATTTGGCCATGCCCACCCAGTCACATTACCCCCCACCACCAAGCCACGCCCACAGAACCAGTAGTAACAAATTTTAGATTTCACCACTGGTGTAAATCCTCCCATTCCCCACTATCCTGTCAGAGCTGAAGAAGCTTCTTGGATAAGAAGCGAAACGTCTTTAAAGAAAAAACAAGAAAAAGCATCTTTGGGGTTCACTTTGAATTTTTATCCGAACGAGCTTGCATTGTTCAGAATATGGCAAAGCACGTTTATTAGTGAAAAGTATGCTCAAAGTAATAGAATCCTAGAGTTAGAAGAAGGGATCTTAGAAGTTATCTAGCCCAAGCAGGAATCCTCATACCATCCTAGAAAAACTACTGCAATTTTTTTTTTTTCTTGAAAATCACCCGGGATCAGTTCAGCAGACAGGCTGGCCGCTTCCCACAAAACGCCTCTTCACAACTTTACAAGTGGCCATTTTCTCTTCTACAGGTAGTCCTTGACTTTACAAGCCTCTGTTTAGCGACCGTTTGAAATTACAACGGCACTAACAAAAAAAAAAAAAGTAACTTGCAACCAGTCCTCAGTCGTACGACCGTTGCGGCAATCCCTAAGGTCACGTGATCAAAATTTGGGTGCTTGGCAACTGGCGTGTACTTACAACAGTTGCAGTGTTCCTGGGGTCACGTGATCACTAATTTTGACATTCCTAGATAGATTCTGACAATCAAAGTCAATGGGGAATGCCAGATTTGCTTAATCAGCATACGATTCACTTAAGGACCATAGCCAACAGGCTTGTAAAATCAGGCGTGGCTCTTCTGTCTTCTTTAGCAACAGAAATTCTGCTCCCAATAGAGGTTGTAAAGTCAAGGAGTGCCTGTATTTTCTTTCTCACATACACAATGAGAAACAGCAATTTTTGTATACTTACCTAGCCAACTTCTATTTAAATACACAGAAACAAACACGGGAGGAACGGTGAAAAAATCAACTACAGAGTTTACTTCCAGCCAAAACCATAGTTTGTCGTTGGCTGCTATGAACTGTAAAAAAAGAAAGGAAGACAGACAAGAATTAAGGAAGTGAAATTTTTAAAAAGGTAAGGTTAACATTTAGGATAAATGGACCACGGACCATTCTTGCTTTATGAAAGAGACTTTTTTTTAAAAAAAAATTATTAAACATAAAAAGAAAGCTTTAACACTTTTTCTGTTTCAACAGTTTCGCATCAGTCAAAAATTTCATTATTTATACATTTTTTCCTCCCTAATTTCTACTATATCTTTTATACATATCCTTCTAATATTTATTTATTTATTTGCATATATACATAACAATACCCGTGTATACACTTTCATTTCTACAATTTTCGTTTCCTCATATTAGCAATTATACTTCAACTCTTTTTTCGACCATTATTTAATTCTTCCTTTCCTTTTGTCTCTCTCCTCCAACCGTTCATACTATTTCTCCCACACTAAGTAATATTCTGTTTCCTCTTTTTCTTGTATCTCCTTTGTTAATTTGTCCAACTCCGCACATTCCAAAACTTTTCTGATCGGATTATCTTCGGATGGTATATTATCATTTTTCCAATTCTGAGCGTAGATTATTCTTGCTGCTGTGGTAATATGGATAATTAAATATTGTATTTCTTTTTCCTATGACCCTGGGAATATTCCTAATTAAAATGTTTCTGGCCTCATCTCTATCTTTTGTTTGGTTATTTCTTCTGTGATCTGATTCTACTCCAACATTGTTTCGCTTTGTGGCAGGACCACCACATGTGATAATACGTTCCCTTTTGCTGTTTCTAAGCAGAGGTGGTATTCAACTGGTTCGGACCGGTTCGCCCGATCCAGTAGCGGAAATCATGAGTGGGGCCACCCACCCGCCCCGGCTCTATGCCATCCTATTTAGACACATTTTTGAGACTGGGCGCATGCACGGAACGCACGTAGAAGCAAAGTGCAGGTGCATGTGCATGCGCGAACCAGGCACACATGCGCATGAAGCGAGCATACGTGCATGCACAAAGTGAGCGTATGCGCACACGAAGCAAGGATATGCGCACGGCGAACCGTTAGTAACATAATGTGAAACCCACCGCTGCTTTCTAAGAAATGGTTTCACAAGCTTTGAGCCCCGTAGAGCAGGCTGGGTTCCACATCTGACATCTAGAATCATTTTAGAACCAGCAGTGGTACCGCAATAGAAGTGGCTGATTTTGGTCCTGGATCAAAATCCTCAATCAAACTAGGATTAAGGCTTTATCAGGGCTGAGAGGCAATATTGTCTGTCATAAGATGCCACAATACACTAATGTCGTGGCCCCGCCCTCTGAGCCTATCCCATCGGAGGAAGAAAGCTCCGAGCATGAGGAAGAGGAGTCAGCCAGGCCTCCCTCTCCAGGCCCCTCCCCTCTGGCACTGTCTCAGGTGCCGGCTGAGGGAGAGGAGATTAGCCGGGAGACAGGTGGCTCGGATGAGAGTGAGGGAGAGACGTCATTCCTGGATGCACGCCTCCGAAGGCGTGATAAACGATTGCAGCAGCTCAGGAGGCGTGCTAGGGATTAGAACTGAGTCACTGGACCACACCCCAGAGACTATATAATAGAGAGTGGTGGTCAGTGATCCCTGTGACAAACAAAAATAAACCTTGGATAGTCACTAAAGCATTGTCCGAAACTGCTGAGAGGAATATTATTTCTGTTGGACTCTTGTATGCTGAGTATATTATCTTTCTGTTTCTGTGGAAATAAAAGCACTTGGCAGACGGTGTGTATATCGCTGCCAAGTTGGAGATAAAGACCTGGGTGTGTGCCAAGTGCTTCCTTAACCCTCAGCTGGCTGTGTTTGTGTGTGTGTGGACGGGGACAGATCAACTTAAACCTTTCTTCTTTATATGTTTTAGCCTCCAGTCCCCTAATCATCTTTGTTGCTCTTCTCTGCATGCTTTCTAAATCTTTTTAAAATTATGGTGACCAAAACTGGATGCAGTATACTAAGTGTGGCCTTCCTGGAAGTTGTATTGCTTTTCAATGTTTAAAATTCCACAAATGGAAAATACAAGTCGTGTTTCCAAATGAGATAAACCCCAGAAAACAAAGTTTACACTTCATCCCTCTTCTCTGTTTTTATTTGCTTTCGAGGTACATTAAAAACCTGGAATTGGTCACTATTTTCTTTCGGGAAATCTCTTTTGTCGCATGAACAAAGAAAGAAGTTTTCGTGGCAGAGATGGAGCTGAATTATTCCATCTCCTATCTCTACAGGCATTGACAATCCATTAATATTCTGTAAAGTTATTACAATTCACAGGAAGTTATTGCACCGTTGAACAAGAGGACATTTATAATGCATTCTCCTTTCGGAAGAAATCATTATTTTATGTATGGATAATGGATAGGTAATACATAACTACTGTATAAGCTTTATTATAGGAATAATATTGGTAGGGAAGTAATTATGCAGTATTTCCTTCAGAAAGAACAGTAATATGAGTTCTGCTGTTATTATATTCATAAAATGCTTATGGCGTACAATAAATTTTAAACTTTCCCCAAAGTCAGTTTGCCTTATTCCTTCCCTATCTCCTTACAAAATAATAATAATAATTAGCCTATTGGGAAAACTAGCAGAAGAGAAATGTGTCATTCTCCTAGCATTTTTCTCCTCCTTTCCTTTCCTTTCCTTTCCTTTCCTTTCCTTTCCTTTCCTTTTCCTTTCCTTCCCTTCCCCTTCCCTTCCCCCTTCCTCTCCTGTTCTCTCCCTTTCCTTTCCTTCCTTCCTTCCTTCCTTCCTTCCCCTCCGCCTTAACCCTAACCCTTTCCTCCTTTCCTTTCCTTTCCTTTCCTCCTTTCCTTTCCTTTCCTTTCCTTTCCTTTCCTTTCCTTTCCTTTCCTTTCCTTTCCTTTCCTTTCCTTTCCTTTCCTTTCTTCCCTTCCCTTCCCTTCCCTTCCCTTCCCTTCCCTTCCCTTCCCTTCCCACTCCTCAAAGTTCACAGAATAATTGGGTTGGAAGATACCTTGGAGGTCTTCTCATCCATCCCCCTTCTCAAGCAGGAGACCTTATGCCTGAGATGGCGAACCTGTGGCACGCGTGCCAGAGGTGGCACATAGAGCCCTCTCTGTGGGCATGCGCATCGTCGCCAGCTGCTCTTCCAGTTTCCATCATGTGCATGTGTGTCGGACAGCTGGTCTGGTGCGCATGCACACCAGCCAGCTGCTCCCTTCCGGGTTCCGGTGCTCTGGCACGCCCACGCTCGCATGCTCCAGTTTTGGCACTCAGTGCCAAAAAGATTGGCTGTCACTGCCCTATGTCGTTCCAGACAAGTGGCTGTCCAGTCTCTTCTTGAAAGCCTCCAGTGACTTCTTGAAAGCCTCCAGTTCCAGAGTAAGCCATTCCAATGATAATTGTTCTCATTGTCAGGAGATTTCTTCTTCATTCTAGGTTGGACCTCTCCTTGATAATCTTCCATCTGTTATGTCTATGGAGTTTCTCAATCATCCAGGTCATGGTTATCCCAAAGATGTTTCTCGAAAGATCATTAGACTTTCTGGGTTTTTCCCTGAAAATGTTTCACTTCTTATCCAAGAAGTTTCTTCAGTTCATCCAAGAATGAGATGAGATCCAAGAACTGAAGAAGCTTCTTGGATGAGAAGTGACTGGCCCTCAAGTACAAGACGACAGTTATCATGTCACCCTTAGCCCTTCTCTTCCTTAGACTAGACATACCCAGTTCCCGTAATTGTTCATCATCTGGTTCAGCCTACCTATCCCTAGTCATCTTTGTTGCACTTCTCTGCATTCTTTCTAGGATCTCAACATCTTTTTTGTATTGTAGTAACCAAAACTGGATTCAATACTCCAAGTGTGGTGTCACAAGTGTGTGTGTGTGTGTTTGTGTGTGTGTCTCTGTGTGTGTGTGGTGCATGGTATTCCTCCTCCCAATGTGGGTTTGAGCAAATCCTTCAAGTAGTTTGTTCAGAAGAGATAGCCAAGTTTTAGAATTAGAATTAGAATTCTTGATTGGCCAAGTGTGATTAGACACACAAGGAATTTGTCTCCGGTGCATAAGCTCTCAGTGTACATACAACAATAGTGACAAATCATTATCATTGTCATTGTAAAAATACATTCATCATAAAACATTAGATACAACACTTAGTGATCGTCGTGGATACTAAATAAGCAATCGGGTTAAAGGGCTTCCATCAAATTTGCAGGTTCCCTGATGAAAACATCTGGGGAAGACAATGCTGCAATTTGTTAGATTTTGCAACACACACAGACACAGACACACACAAAACCCCCAGGTATGGAACGCGGATATACTTACCCGCAAGCCAAAGTAGAGCAGGAAGAACACATTGAAAGCCATGTCTATTTGTAATGTGAAATCTTTGTAGAAATTCTGGCAAGATTCTATTGGACTATTTAAAAAAAAAGAAAAGAAAAGATCAGAATTATTTGGAGGAAGAAAACCAGCATAGGAAAAGAAAAGAAAAAAAAAAGGTTAAAAATTAAGATTTAGACAGATCCAACCCTGTCAGTCTTCAGGAAAATATATATTAAAAAAATATTGAGCATCTGTTAGGAATAGTTGGTGCAACATATGAGCTCCGGAGGTATATTGTCGGTTATGTTTGTTTATGGATTCCTTTTGTGAATATTATGCTCTCTTGCAATATTATTTTTCCTGGGTTTGCATGTGACGCGGGTAATCCTCAATTTACGACCACAACTGAGCCCAAAATTTATGTCGCTAAGCGAGACCTTCGTTAAGTGAGCTGTGCTCCATTTTACGACCTTTCTTTCCACCGTTGCCAAGTGAACCACTCCGGTGGTGAAGTTAGTAACACAGTTTGTTAAGTGAATCTGGCTTCCCCATCGATTTTGCTCGTCAGAAGGCCGTAGAAGGGACCCTGGGACCGTCATAAATATGAATCAGTTGCCAAGCGTTCAGAATTTTGATCACGTGACCACGGGGATGCTGCAATGGTCGTAAGTGGGAACAATGGTCGTAAGTCACTTTTTTTCAGGGACGCCGTAACTTTGAACGGTTAGCAAATGAACTGTTGTAAATTGAGGGCTATCTGCATATGCTGCCTGGAGCCATTATTAGACAATTTACAGTAGTGGTCAGAATTGTGGAAACCTTTTGGGAAAAGTGTATTTTTGAGGTTTGACACCACTTTTGGGGGGAAGTTTCAAGATAATCCTATTCCACTGCTGGAATGGCCTGGGAATAGCCCAGACCTTAACCCAATGGAAAAATCTATGGAGCCGACTAAAGAAACTTGTTAGTCAGACGCGACCCATCAATAAAACCCAGTTAATAGAAGCCATCATTCAATCTTGGTTTCACATTAGAACATTTGCAGAACTAAAAGACTTGGTTCACTCCATGGGAAGACGTTGTAAGGCCGTCATTCATGCTAAAGGTTCCCCAACTAAGGATTAACTGATGTGGTGATCATTTCTGTATATCTCGTTTTTTCTATGGTGATAATTTTTGTATATCTCATTTTTTCTACGTATTTCACTTTTCTTCTTTATACCGTAACTGCTATTCTAGTAGCAAATCCTTCATAAAAGTTATTGCATTACATTCTTGATTCAATTATCTTTCCATTGATATATATAATTATATGGTATTACTCCCCCCCAAAAAAGGGGGGGTGTTATTAGCTACTTTTAGAAAATACACTTTTCCTATAAGGTTTCCACAATTTTGGCCACTACTGTAGGCAACTATATCAATCTCATAAATAAAAGTTGACCACTGACATTATCTAGATAATTCAGTCATTGCTATTTTGGTTCCAGCTACCCAGTTTCTCAAAGGTCCAGAAGAATGGGTCCTCAATATTGTCCTTTGAGTACCTCTTAGTAGACTAGTAGTCGACTAGTAGACTAGTCGACTTTAGTAGACTAAATTGGATACTCTAATTATTCACGTCTTCAGTCAACAGCAGAAACAGAAAAACATGCAGGCGTTTTAAAGGAAGGACAAGCAAGAGAGACCACAGCCCCCCCATTAACCCTTAAAGAACTGGCTTCTTTCTACAAAGGATTTAAAGGACACGCATCAAGGTTACAACTCGGTTAGCCAAAAGTTTGTGCAACAGCTTTAATCTTCCAGGAAGAGATCAAACTTTTCTCAGCTAGTTGCCAAAGAACAATGTCTGCTATTGAATGGTACAAAAGTAAGCCAGACAGATCTTTTTTTCTTTTCCCCTGAACATTTGGCCATTTTAGGGAATTTATATAAGGTTTTTCTCTACTTTTCAGCCCGCCGTGAATGATTGAATCTTGCCTTTTTTTAAAAAAAATAATGTCCATGTAAGTTTAGTGCATTTGATTCTTCCTTTGACCAGGAAAAGGAAGGTATCACAAAAGGATGTTCTCCCAGTTTAGAAAACTGGGAAAAATTCTACAGGAGACTGGATACGAATATCAAGTTTCAAAGAAATAAAAGAGAATCTCATTGCGAAGAAAATAACACAGAACAAAAGTCCCAGAATTAGAAGCAGGACTCTAAGGGTTAATTTTCACATGCAGATTAAATTATTTTCCCCCCCTCCTTTTCTCAAGCAGTCAATGCAAATGTATATTTTTTTTTCCTTGAAGAATCAAGGCATACTGTATTCGGTTTAGCATCCTATATACCAAATGGTACCATGCTCTATTTCAATATACCAGCTTGCATCGATTTTTAAAAAGTGATTTATTTGTGAGAGTCCTGTGAAATGCTTGAGAAGTCCTCAGACTTGAGATAAAACAGCACATCCCAATATTTTGCAACAAATTGTTGCTCGGTTGGCATAAACATATAAGCGGGCGGTGACTATGCTTCGTTGTGCGTACAAATCAGTTAATATTGGGGGGGTGGAAGTCAATGTAATAGCAGGAAGCTCACTAACAAACAAACTGCAAGACTTGAGTGCAACAAATAAATCACAGAGTCTCATTCCAGTTAGTATTATGGCAGTTCTGCAAATCCGTGGTTAAATTCATCAACAAGCAAAATTCTATGCATTCTAGTAACTTGTAGTCTAATTAAAGGCAGTGAGTGGATTAGCTACACATGCAGTCAATTTCCAGTTTACTTGTAAACGGCTCAAACAGTTCTAACAGTAGCATGCCTTTTCTTAAATTCAGGCATTTCATAAGCAGCAGCAAACATTTCCCTGACAGACAAGGACCAAAGATTTGTCCACCATTGCATGAAACTCTATCCAAAGTGATTAAAACCAACAAACTATTTATTTATTTATTTATTTATTTATTTATTTATTTATTTATTTATTTATTGGTCATCATATTCAATACACCAATCTTCTACAGTGCACTGAACTTGAGTGGAAGAGTGTGAGCAAACTGATATTATATTTGTGGTAAAAACCCATGCAACTGGCAAGACCAAAGAAGAGAAAAGGACACGGATTTCAGGAAGGTATTTTTAATGCCAACTTGAATAGGATAGGATAGGATAGGATAGGATAGGATAGAATAGAATAGAATAGAATAGAATAGAATAGAATAGAATAGAATAGAATAGAATAGCAGAGGTGGAAGGGACCTTGGAGGTCTTCTATCCTGCTCAGGCAGGAAATCCTGTACCATTTCAGACAAATGGTTGTCCAATCTCTTCTTTAAAATTTCCAGTGTTGGGGAATTCACAACTTCTGGAGGCAAGTTGACCCACTGGTTAATTGTTCGAACTGTCAGGAAATTTTTCAACATGGGCTTTGAGTTCAAGGAAATGTGTTAATGCTTATAAGACTCAGGAATTTTCTTCCTTAACGCTAACTCTGAATTCCTCTGTACAATATTCACCAACACCGTAGTTACCATAAAAGTTACCATAAAATAGGCCATGGAGATTAGGGTGAAACTTTTCCTGTTATGAAGGTGAGCACCTGTTTTTAAGCCAGCCATCATACTCTGCAATCCAGCTCAAAACTCAGAATAAAATGGGAAGAGTGATATCAGCAATACCACGCTAAACTTCTTGGTGAAAGAAAAAGAGAACTTGAAGGGTATTTTCCCTTCCTTCCTTCCTTCCTTCCTTCCTCCCTCCCTCCCTCCCTCCCTCCCTCCCTTCCTTTTTTTCCTCCACCCTCATGATTTGCACATAACAGCCAATTCAAAACAAATAATTATTTTGCAAGTCTGCCAGGCTATTAAGAGAACCACCTTACTATCTACAACTGGTTTCATTCGAATTGCAGACAGCAGGTACATAATTAGTTGCCAATAATTTCTTCCTTCCCAGCTATAAGCTTTCTGGAAAGTAATTAACAATGAATTGGAGAAGTTCTTAAGAAGCTGTAAATTAACTATTCAATTAACTATTAGAAAATGTGCTGACTTGACAGTGTCTTCCTTAAATAAAACATTATAATGATCTCGGAAGATGAAAGAGATCAACCGTCAAAGTAAAGCTAAAAGAAACTGATAAAATCTGTATAATATCATCAATATATTATATGAAATATAATTAAGATTAAAAATTAATCACCCATTTTTAATTTATTTTTTTGCCATACAGAAGCCTGAAACTTCAAGATGTATTTAGTCGTATCCTATAAAATGTGGTTCAGATGTAGAAAGGTCTGCCAGATCTAATATAAATATAAAGTTGAAGATTTAAAATCATCTGGAAGATAATGAACAAGTACATAATTGGCTATTACAAACCTAAAGTTTAAAAATGCTTTCTCTTATAGATTTCATTTTGCCCCATTATTTCTGGTTTGAGATTTATATTACCACAGAGTAATAATAATAAATAGTATCGTAACACATATAGACTTTTAGAAAAAAACATTTTCCTGGAAATATAATTACATAAATCTGTTTGAAATATATATACCAGCAAATTTTGCTCTTAAATCAAACCTAAGTTACAGCAAAAGCAAATTATGTCAGTGTTTCTGTAGATCAGCTACAGCAATTCACTTTTCTAAAATTTTAACTAAAACCAAAGCAGACAACACATCGCACAAATTTAGCATGTATACAATAATTTAAGTAAATTCCTTAAGAGTCTTTTAGACAATTGAAGTAAGTTGAAAAGAAGATTTCAATGTAAACATATAGGATCGAGAAGAAAGTAGATGCACCTAGCAAGATTAAATACATCTGGGTTGATTCAAAAGTTAGTAACTGGCATTACTGATTAAACCGAGGAAAAATTAGATATATTTATTCTCGTAATAAACTAACTGAAATTAAAGTTACTTAATTTTAGCTAGATGCTAAATATGCAGGTATTCAGAATGAAGAAAGTTTCCTATCAATTCACTTGATTTGTATTTTATCTTGTATAAATGAATCCACATGGTTGAAAATACGCGATGTATGTTCAATACCGTTTTGCTTAAGAGTTAGAAATGTGATTTTTGACCTTTTTCTCTTTCAAAAG